GCATGTTTAGAAAGCCATGTAAAATTAATGCAAGTTCAACTTTAGTGTTATCTTATGCTTTGAATAAACGTGCATTAGTAATGTTTTGCTCGATGCGCCCTCTTGTGGCCTCAGGAGAGAAGCCAAAAGCTTTTCTTCACCCTCACTGAAATTATGCATTTTAAATTCGAATATAATTCGAATTTTGATAATATTTAAGTACAATATTCGAATTTAGGTTTTCAGCCATTTTGACAGCCCTAAGCTGAGCTACTGAGAGTTTGCACAGAACATTATGCAACTTCTGCGTGATCAGCAGTTTACCAGGATGCATTCTGTCAGTCTAGAGAGAGAGTTTAGGACTCAAGCGCCTCTTACCTGCACTCAGAGAGAGGAGCAGGTACAGCTAGCTGCTTAGAGCACAGCGGCGCGGGACAGCAGTACTGGTGCAAAGCATTTACACACCTACGACACAAGGAGAAACAAAGACGTCATCTACTCCACTCTACAAACACACTTCAGCCCACCACGTCCTGCAGTACTCTGGCCAAGGTGTTGATATGATGATGATTCACATAAAAATTCATCCTCAGTCACAATCTGAAGAAGTCAGGAAAATCAAATGATTTTCTACCGTTTCCTTTCCATTATCAGGTGAATTGAAATGCTTTTAAGCATATTCTCATCTCCAGATAGCTTTACGATCGCTCTCATCCTGTGCAACACTAGCCTTCTGAACTGTTTGCTGTGTAACTTGTTGCGTTGGTGTCTGATACTGATGAATAAGTGACAGGTGAAGATGTGAGTTGATTTCTCCATGAGTAGGTCTTTATGTAGCTCTGCACCAGACTGCTGTCACATACACAACGCCACTGCTTCAGACACAGATTTCCATACACTTGAAACAAAAGCTAACAGGAATAGTTCACAAATAGAGCTTAAATGTCACTAATACATTTAAATGTTTGTCAAACATAACCGCTTCTCATGAGCGATCATGCAAGACTTTTTTTACATCCACAAAAAATTGGCAAATTATGTCCCTGGCTGTAACGTAATAAATAAAGGCTATTGCTTATAAAAAATACATAAATAAATAAAGATGAGGTATTTGTATTGTCCCAACTTCCTGTTTATATCATATAATTTAAAAAAAATTGTTGTTATTATTATTATCATTATCATCATCGTTATTATTATTATTATATAGCCTTATTAATATATAAATCACAACATTTTGGCCTTATTGTGCAGCCCTATGAACAAGCACAGCAAACCTGTAATTTTTTTAAATCACATTTCAAATATATTTTTATCAGAAAAATCACAATTAGATTTTTTTTCCCTGAAACTGTGCAGTTCTAAATACAAGTAACGAAAATAGCAACAATAGCAGTCAAACAACACAAAATAAATATATTTCTGATTATAATAACTGGATGCCACTGGCTGACATACAAATGCAATGTGATGAGGTCATGTGACAACAATGTAGCATACTACTAACTGAAATGTTTACCGCACACTTCACACTGTTTTGCATGCTATTTCCGTTTATGCTATTTCTTCTCAAATAAATAGCTAGCAGTTACTGTGCAGCACAAGCAGGACACTAGTATTCCTTAACCACCTTAAATTCACCATTGGATTGTCCTATAAAGAGCCCAAATAGCCTTAAGCCAATGAACTAATGCTAAAGTGCCCTTCAGTTTAACCTTAGTCACCTTGAGAGGATTGAATCTCCAATGAACACACACATCTCTGATGCTGTTTTCAGATGCTTATTGTATGCTTTACATGCTGACAAGAGCAAGAATAAACAACTGCAAAAATTAAAATCTAAAGCTTCAAAAAGATTTCTGCAGTAATTTATGGGACAGATGGCCAGACTGAACACTGCACATGAAGGAGAAATGCATCACAGATCACAGTTCATAGCAGCACATTGTGCTCTAAGCATGTGACTTGAAATTGCGTCATAATGCACATCAGCTACAGCCAAACACACACTCTCTCACACACACACACACACACATACACACACACACACACACACACACACACACACACACACACACACACACACACACAGCAGAGCAGCAGAGCAAACACAGTGCTATCACTTCCATTTACTGCACAGCACATCCTAAACACAAATGCAGAGCGTCCTGAAGAATGCTGTCTCACCATCATGACATTAGTCCATCATCACAAGCTCCCTGTGGAGCATACACACAATCGCAAGCCCATCCAACAGTCTCCATGTAAAACACATGACTCAGCACCACGGTAAAACATCTGGAGAGCGGCGTCACGCATGCAGACTGCATCTGATACTCACATCATGCTGAGTCTGTGTGCCATGGCCGCGGGTCTGCGTGCACTCGTGTGCCGTACACTTGCTCATTCACACTGCTCAACGCTACAGCGCTGCGTTCCTGGCCCGTGATGTCACACGCGCATCACACACTTACATCAGCAGGTTTGTTACATGCTGCGGGGGAGCACGCACTGACACCGCGCAGAACAAGTACATGAAATCACAGATGCTGCTGAGGAAATGTGTGTGTGTGTGTGTGTGTGTGTGTGTGTGTGCGTGTGTGTGCGTGCG